CATCCATCCATCCATCCATCCATCTTTCAATCCATCCATCCATCCATCCATCCACTATTCTATTCATCCATTTATCCATGCATCCATTCATCCACTATTCTGTTCATCCATTTATCCATCTTTCAATCCATCCATCCATCCATCCATCCACTATTCTATTCATCCATTTATCCATCCATCCATCCATCCATCCATCCATCCATCCATCCATCCATCCATCCATCCATCCATCCATCCATCCATCCATCCACTTTTACTTTAAAGGGCTCAAAAACACTGCTAACCCTTTTCCACAGCAGTTTTCAACTCTTGAAGTGATCAGCAGTTATTTTTTAATATATTCATCTTGGAGTTACTGGGGTAAAATAGCCAAGGTCACTCGTGGCCTATTAGGATAATAAGATTCAGGACCATCTCACACTTTAAAACCACCAAGTGCAAAATTACTGACTGTAGCATTAATGCATTCATAATCAAAATCTTTTTTTAAATTGCTTTACCTTATACTTAGCCAGCTGTGCCCTGCGTTGATACAGTTCAGCCTTAGGCTCCACCGGGGTGCTGAGCAAAGCTCTGGTCTCCACAAGCCACTGGACCTGGGCTTTGTATCGGTCCTGAAACTCCTTTGCTAGCAGCAACGCGCGCTCCAGGAAGCTGCGCTCCTGCCTGAGTCCTCCGGCGAGCTCCTCCAGCTGGGCGAGACGCGCCTCCACCTCTCCTCCTAAACTCTCAGCTCCAGCCTCGTCCAGGAAGCCCGCTGCCTGCTCTGCACGCTCCCTCAGCGATTTCAGGAAATTGTGACCTTGCTGAAGCTCAGACTGGAGAGTCTGGTTTAAATAAAAAGAAAAAAAGAGAAGAAATAGAACCTTCAAATAGGACATTTAACACTACAGATTTTGTATTGCTTATTGAAAAATCACCTCGCACGTCTAATCTAGTGAAAGAACACATTTATATTTCAGTTTCAAGAACCTAAAGGTTATTTTCAGCACCGTACCCCTGTTTCTTTGTCCTTCACCTCTACTTCTACCCGGCTACCAGAACTAGCCTGGCAGGGCGTTTGAAAAGCTTTGAACCTATCAGGTAGGCTGACACCTGCACGATGAAAGTTCACGGTGAGGAAAAACACCCACAGTGAATAATATGAAAGGAGGACCCAATTATAAAGACCCCTTAACAAGCAACAGTAGCTGCAGGGGTTTCCAGGGAAACCACTACATGCCACAYACACATACACACACACACACTGCCCTCCACTCGATGGGACGCCATCTACCTTTCATCATCCACCTATTAATGCTTGAGCTCACACTCCAACAAGCCCAGATCTCAATCCACSTCTGTGGGCAACATAACAAGACCTGAGTGTGTTTGCACACGTCCACGTGTCCTCCTTAATATGACACCCCAAGCTTGATCATTATCTCCACTGTCCCCGGCTCGTGACTTTAATAAGTCGGTCCGTTCGGACCACACACAACTCTGCATTTAAGGAAGTCTTCAGCAATTCCAATTTGCAGAGGCGTAGATTGTTTCTTGTGCCGAATCATCCTCCATCGTCTAAAACATCCTTTATCTCCCCCGTCATAGTGAATTCTCTTCAAAGCACCACGACCCTTCTGGATGGGTTGAGTTATTAGTAAAGTAAAGTTTTATTTACATAGCGCCTTTCACAGAAATAAATTCACAAGGTGCTGTACATTCAGGGAAGGGGGAGGGGGCAGTTAAGAAACACCCATTCAAGAAGACATACAAGACAAACATGGAGGAACAGGTGAAACCGGTCATGTAGCAAACACAGTTGCGTTACCTTTAACAACAGCTTGAACTACACAAAAGGAAAATTGAGTTAAACTAGTAAGCATCAAAAGAATTCTGGAAATGCTCATGACTGTGCATAAATACATAGTTTCAGAATTACTTTTCATAAAACAATGAAAATTCAGTGGATTTAGATGAMTTATGCTCATTCTTCGTCTGGTGCTACAATATGGTAATAATTAGATGTGTGTTAAAAAGAACAACAGGCCTCATGCAAAAAYGTGTTCGTATTCTTATCCTAAATTTCTCTTACTTTTGTGTCAMGTCAGATTCAACAAACTCTTCTATCCTCAGGAAAAGTGTGTAAATGAGGAGCRTAAACTGATGAATGCGTATCAGGTGCTCGCACACGAGGAGAGGAGATAAGCATAATTACTATCCCTAAAACACCATATAAGGCTACGTTTCCTGCCCCACATACCAGGAAGTTTTCATTCCTAAATGACATYGCAAAGTAAAAAGAAGAACTTCACGAGTTTGGAGACTGAAGTCCTGCTCTCAGAGATCCAGAAAAGAAAATCTGTCATTTTTAGCAGCGTCAGCTGTGGAATTAAAGGAATGAAATGACGACTGCTGTTAATGCTGTGTCTCCTGTGGGTCGTATRCAGTCACAGAAATAAAAATCTAAATCATATTCACCTCTCTCTAGTCCTGCTCCAGTTTTCCTTTGGTCAAATATTTTTAATTTAATTGTAAACAACTGTGTTACATAGTTTTCATTTATTCAGAAGAGCAGTCATGCACCGCTACCCCCCCACTTGCAAGTATGTTTTAAAATGTCTCCAAACTTCAGTGAATGCATAATTCAAGTTGGTTTGTAGTTTAAGATCTTCATATTAATGATGAAGTGTTATACAACAGCATTAATAGCCAATTTAATTTAATTTAACCAATTTATGTCGTTATTTACATTTAAAATTATCCAGTTCAAACAGAATAACCTATTGTCAACATAATTATGGAATGTGATTTATTTTCAACTCAAAATATCTTCAAATTAATGAAATATAAAGTTATTAGTGAAGAAAATCCATCTGGATAACAACAGACTGACTGCTCGTAAAATATTCGACAGGTCTGGACCACTCATGAATTTTGTTCATATCTGAAGAAAATCTTACAATACGAGAAAATTGCTGACTGCCACAAATTCTCCTAAAGCACTCGTACGCACAACTTCAGAACAAATCTGTGCATACGAACGTTTCTTGCATGAGGCCCAATGTGCCCTTCATGTTTCCACTGTCTCGTACCCCCCACTTATCCATGTCAAGTTCTTGATGTGGCTGCTGCAGTGAGGGAGCTCCAGAGGTTTTAAGTTTTTTTTCTGCGGGAGTTTCTGGGTTCCTTTATGGCACTGAAAGCCAGGTGACGGTAGTCTTGTGTGGTATGACGGTATTTTGGTATACCGTGGTATTAAGAAATGGTGATGGTATTTAAAAATTATGATGGTATTAATCACGTGAGGTGAAGGGCCACATTTCCACAAGGTTGCTTAACCTTAACTCAAACAAACAGGATTGCTGCAAGGATTTTTCCCAAAACAAGTGAGWTGCAGATGAGGAAATGCCTACAAACTTTTATTGGCACAAAGACTGGCTAAAATGATGCAGCAGCACAGTTACCAGGGTAAGAGTCAGGTTATTTTGAAAATTAAAACCCTAAACTAAACAAACTTGACCGTATTTTGATCTGTTTGACATAAATGGGGCAAAGCCAATAGAATGTCAAGCTGTATGCATGTAAATGCAGCCGTTTCTCCATTAATTATTAATTACTCAAYACGCCACAGTACCCTTCCCCCCAAGGTCATACTGTTAACCACAGTATTTTCTAAAGCGTATTCCGTGGTATGAACGTGATCAATACTGCCCAACCCTAGACATAAACAAAACACACTTTTCAGCAGGAGGTTAGACCCAAGAATGCAGACTGGCACAAGGAGCTCGACGTATAACTAAAACTTTATTTAAATGAACAAAAAAGGCATGACAGCTTACTAACTAATAATACTCGACTGAAAATAGAGTGGAGACTCCATCAGAAAGCAGTTTTAAAGGACAAATGATGTAAAAGCACTGAAGACGATGGCTTCTTTAGATAATAATTAGTGAGAAACTTAAGAACAATAAAAGACAGAATCAAAAGAAATGTCAGTCGCTTCTGTCTGAATCCCACGTTTATGATATCAGATAAAATCCAAACCCAGCTAATGGCCCTTAATGGAGCTATTGACAAGTGGTCGGTCTGTCGATGTATAATCATCCCTGCTCAGTGAACAGCCCAGCGTCTCTCACAACAGGAGATGAGGAAGTGATGGAGCACTTTCTGGCGTTATCTTCTGCGGTGGAAGGACACATGTGGTGGCAGCGGGTCTCCAGTCTTTACACAGAGACAGAGCATCGATCTCAGACACGGATTACTGCAAAGACCACACCAGATGATGTATGGCGAGCATCTGCGTGTGCTTGTGTGCTTTTCAGGGTGTGTGTGTGTGAGGAAAACAAAGCGAGCTGAGATACAGCGATACAAAAAATAATAATAATAACTGAAGTGGAAACAACGTGTGAAATCACACAACATTTACAGGTTTAAGAGTTTGCAGCAAGTTGTCAGTTTGGGTGGGTTTTGTGATATGAAACGAGGGTTTGAGGTGTGTGTGTGTGTGTGTGTAACGTGAAGCGGTAAGGGCACCGCATCCATTACAGTTTCTGTGCCAGCGGGCTCCTGACACCGACGCTTCTTCATCCTCTTCCACACGGTGGGAGGTCCCTCCCTGATATCGTGCGCTCTTTCAAAGCAGCACCAGCTTTGTCTTCATGAAGCACCGATCGATACACACACACACTCATCAAACCCTCAAACATGCTCAATACACACTGCGCCCAACAAACATGGGCGCTATTCTCTTAGTTGCAGCTTGTGTTTATTCTAGCAGGAATAAAACAAAAAAATTCCCTCTCCAAATATTCTGCAGATTCTGATAGTGTCACTGTATTTATATAAACCTTTGACTTTGAGTCTGGCTCAACCCAAAGTCCTGCTAAGTGCTGCAGTATTAACTCTGCAGTGATTTATTGCAGGTGTATTAAACCCAGCACAGCACTTTTCATCCATTTGCCTCACAATCTGCAGAAACAATTTCAGTCACATAAAAAAAAACTGCAGCACAAGTTTAAACTGACAGATTAATACCTCTAGTTTCTTCATCTTCCTCTCCATGGCGGCCCGGTCCAGAGGCTCGGAACGGTCAGTTAGCCTCGTGAAGCYTTTCTGAGTCGAGCTGAGCCACTCGGTGAAGGACACGCAAAGATTTTCTGCCTCTTCGATGCTTTTTAACTCCTCCTGCAGCTGCTTGATTGTGTCCTGAATGTACAACAGAGGAAAAAAAGTCACAGGAAAGACTCCACAAACATTAAAATGCTTTATTATATAAAATAAACCTTGTAAATCCAGATTTGGCATATAAAAGCTGAATGAATTACCAGCAAGTCCTTTCAAAGTTTGAGTGTGTCAGGCAGAAAATTCAGAAAGCATCTTTTTTTAATTATTATTAAGGTTTGAAATTTTCCCCAAACAGTCTAACCTGTGGTCACCGAGGACCCAAAACTCTTTGATCAGCCTTCAGAACATAAAACCTCAGCTTCCCCTCGACGCTTTCCCTTCTTCTTTCATCTACTCGATGTCAATACTTCCCCGCAAAGAGGAGGGAGCTGTTTTCTTTCAGGTTTTTGATGCATTATCCACTTGACTGAGATTTTGAGTCGATAACGCCACAAGGACAGAGATGGTTTCTTGCAGGTTTGACACAATATTCACTCAACTTGTAAATCCTGCGGAGAGGAGCTTCAATTAGCTGATAGTGCTGAGTGCACACCTTTTCTGACTCAACAGAGGTAACAGCTTCCCACCTCAAGCCCCCCCCTCACTTCCTGCAGCATAATTACAAGGATCCACAAAATGAGGGGGGTGTTATCTGTGTAAGTACACGCTCAAGTCAATTTAAGCTAAAAAAAAGGTGAGGTGTGAGCAGCTTAGAGACTGAGAAACTGAAGTGATGGGAATAAAAGGAGACAAACAACAAATACACGCCGATGTGTTGGTAAATGTGTAAAAAGCAAAAAAGCAAAACATATATATAAAAAAAAATCAATGCAATGCAAGGAAATCTTTGACATTTTTGATGCTGGGTGTGAGATTACGCTTTGTGGCGTTTAATTACGGATTTAGCCCCTGACCAGGAGAGCCCCATTGATTTTCCTTTAGCCCCCCTCCGGGGAGGAGGAGACAAATAGAGAGGGCGGATGTGAGTGTACTGAACAACACAAGCTGAGCTCACAGAGGTAAGTCCCACAGCTACTTCAGTGGGGGGTGTTTGAGAAAACTGAAGTGCAAACTGGGAGTGAATTTCACAGTGAAGGAGCACGACGACGTGCGAAACGGGGGAACGGTGGGCAGGAAATTCACAGGCTACACAATAACGGCGTCGCATTTTTTAACCGCCGTCATGAAAAGCGAAGGCAGACCATAACGACACRTTTGTTTGTTTGTTTGACACTCAAAAAACAGATATGATGGATTTAATTAAAAAAGAAAGTCCAACCAGTTTATAAAGTTTATTAATTTCTTTTTAAAAACTAAATAAATTCTTTATACAATAAAAAATACAAATCATAAATAGAATGAAAGGCAGCCCCTTTTTACAAAAAAATTAATTCAAACAATATTAATCTATAAATGACAAAAACAAAACAAATTAAAACGACAACTCCGTCTCGAGCAACAATTCGTATACAGTGGCGCCTGCAGAAATTCTTTTCATGGGGGGGCCATGTGAGGCACTGAAAAACCAGGGGTGGCACACCAAATCTAATATCTATAACAGAAATTTTATGATGTGTTTGCAAAAATGACAAATTGAAAACTGACAATATAAAGCTATGGATTTGCCAAAAGATGTTCAATTTGTAATTTCAAAGATAATATTACCGTCAGCAGGGGGGCCATGGCCCCCACTGGTCCCCCCTACAGTGAGTATGCAACCCCCCCCCCCCACACACACACACACACACAAAAAAAAATCAAATGCCATTATTTGCTCTAATACAATAGAAATGAACTGGTTAAGGACAGCTGCAGCTCTGTTGTTGTCTTTTGGTAACTCTGACCTGATTTCAAAATGTATGATGTCATATATATTCGTTTAGACATAATTGCTTACATGCAGGGTTTTATTCNCCCCCCAGCTGGCGCCCCTGTTCTTTTAGATACATGTTATACTATTTCATATTTCTTCAACAGACCAGCTTTTATCAATCTTATATAAAATATTCTTACAGCTCTTTTCTGTAAAACATGATTTATAATTGGTTTGCATGCTTTCCCTCAAACATCAATACAATAGGTTAATTATTGCCTTACACACCATTTGTATAACGTTCATGGACCACTGGACAAATTCTAATGAATTATTCCATCTACAAGCTATTAATTTTTGGAGTCAACACAATTCAAGATGGCCTCCTCAGATGACTATACCTTAAAAATAAAAAATGGCTACAACTCAGTCAATTTTTACAGACTGAACTAAAATTTGTTGCGTTAGTAGCTGAGAGCCCTCCCCAACACATCGTCCAAGTGCTAACCAGTTTCTCAAGACATTTGTTTAAAACGTTGACATGAAAGTTAGCAGGTGATATGCATTTATTTAAAGAATGCTAGTTTTATTATGAATGAATTTACACAAAAAAAGCTGTTCATATATTCAAAAAAAAGGAGCAAAGTGACCTAAAATGTGGTAATAATGAAGGCTAAGGGATGGTGAATGAAACAGGTTCATGATAAGAAAAAAAAAAACACATAAAATAAAAAAATGTACCACGTTAAACATTGAAAGTTAATACTGACTCGTTTGACTGAGAGAACTTAAGGAACTCAACAAAGAACGGCAACCAGACATAAATGACCGAACATTAGATATCTGAAAGAGCCAAACCTGGATGCTGAGCAGCAGGGAGTGGTAGCGGGCGGTCAGCTGGGTGGCGGTAACACTGACACGACTGCTGATGTAGGTTTCCTCCAGAACCTGCTGGGCTAAAGATGAGAGACCATCGACTTCCCCCTGCTGCGCGAGCACCGCCTCGAGGTAGCCCTGATCACAACCAACAAAGAGAGAGACGTGTGTGAATTATTACACCTCCACTTGTTAAGATTTGATGGTTGAGCTGTGTGAATGTTAACAAAATAATACAAAATAACAGGACTGGAAAAACCCTGAATGGTTATGTGTGATCTGTGCTGGGAAAATAAGCCACAATGAAGAGTTATTTTCAAATTCTCTAATCAAAACGCTTCAAAGCGTTTGTTAGATTTGAAGATTTATCACCTGGTTAGCAACAAGTTTTGCTATGAGAGTGCAGGTTAAAAAAATCTGTTTTTATTGGTCAAGAATGAGCTTAATTCCAGGGTGTATTTAAGCACACAAATATACGAAGGGATTTCCCAGCACTATGGAAGCTGACAGAGAAAACTGTCAATTTCAAAGGCAATTATTAAGACGAAGGAATATTTCTGAATATTTGCACTTTTTGGACTTCAGTCAGCTCTTTCAACGGGTCATGTACGTATGGGGTGCCATTTGTAAAGTTACACAGTCAAAAAATTACCACCAATATATTTTTGTTTGATTTAGCCTTTTATAAGAAGAAAAAGAACAGATTTATTTTTCAAAGTCAGTTTTTCACCATATGATTCATACATTTATAAATGTCATAGTTTATAAACTAAATATTTGTGACTTAAATGTTTAGTTTTGAGCTAAACATTTAGCTTGCAACTTAAATATTTAGCTAGCTAACTAAGGTTGCTAGGTAAATATTTAAGTTGCAGCCTAAATATTTAGGTATCTAGCTAAATATTTGTTAAATATTTAGGTGGCTAGCTAAATATTAAACTTGCTAACTAAATATTTAAGTTGCAACATAATTTTTTAGGTAGCCAGCTAAATATTTAAGTTAAATATTTAGGTGGCTAGTTAAATATTTAACTTGCTAACTAAATATTTAAGATGCAACATAATATATTTAGGTAGCTAGCTAAATATTTAAGTTGCAACATAATTTTTTAGGTAGCCAGCTAAATATTTAAGTTAAATATTTAGGTGGCTAGTTAAATATTTATGTTGCAACTTAAATATTTAAGTTGCAACATAAATATTTAAGTTGCAACCTAAATATTAAGCTAGCTACCTTAATATTTAGGTTGCAACTTAAATATTTAGCTAGCTACCTAAATATTTAACTTGCTAGCTAAATATTTAAGTTGCAACCTAAATATTAAGCTAGCTACCTTAATATTTAGGTTGCAACTTAAATATTTAGCTAGCTACCTAAATATTTAACTTGCTAGCTAAATATTTAAGTTGCAACCTAAATATTAAGGTAGCTAGCTTAATATTTAGGTTGCAACTTAAATATTTAGCTAGCAAGTTAAATATT